TACTTGTTCTTGAGAGGCTGGTTAACTTTACTCATCTTTTTGGCTCTAATTTCGATGAATTTAGGTGAATAAAGGTTTTGGTTAGGTTCTGACTAGATTATTAGGTATAAATTGAGTAAAATGACGTAGTTTAGGTGTAAAACGATGTTGTTTAAATGTTCAATGCATAGGGGAAAAAACAAAAATGACCTTGACTTAACAGCTGACGAGACCATCGACGATCCCTGACCGACGGACCATGGATTGATCGACGGTCCGTCCTGGCAGAGCATCGGTTGGCCTCTGAGACTTGGTGATGGGGATCACGATCCATGGACCATGGACCATAGACCGTGGTACCACCTACGGTCCATAGGTCCTACCATTGGTCATGATTTTCCTGGGGTTCTGGGTGACCAACCACAGACCATACCTACAGTCTGTGGCCAAAACCACGGGCTGCAGTTTGGACTCGGTCTGTGGCACCTGCAAGTTCTGATTTTTTTTTTTGCATTTTAGTCTTTTTTGAATCTGGGGTATTACATTACCTCTACCACTAAGTACTAGAAACTGATATCTAACTGAACTGAGTTCCAAAAACATACAAATATGCTGAAATACAAGAATAACTGAGGGAACAAGATGCTGAGACTGAATTTACGCAAGTGTAAACTGAAAGACTGGAGAGGAACTATTACCTCAAGCTGAAACAGAATCGGAAGGAAAGAGGTGAGGATACTTGGACTTCATGGTTGCTTTTGCTTTCCAAGTGAGCCTCTACGGACCGACTCCTCCAGAAAACCTTCACTGAAGCGACCTCTTTATTTCTCAATCTACGAAACTGTCAGTCAAGAGTCTCTATTGGCACCTCTTCATAAGTGAGACTATCCTTCACAACCACACTCTCTAATGGTACTATTGATGTCGGATCACACACACACTTCTTCAACAAGGAAATGTGAAAGACTGGATGAACTGCTGCTAGTTCTGCTATCAACTCTTACTCATAATCCACATTACCAACCCTTTTTAGGATTTTGTAAGGACCTGCATTGAGCTTCCCTTTCTTACCAAATCTCATCGCCCCTTTCATAGGTGACACCTTTAGAAAGACCCAATCATCAATTTCAAACTCTAAGTCCCTTCTCCTCACATCTGCATAGGGAGTATGATGACTCTGAGTTGTCTTAAGTCTATCCCTGATGTGCTGAACCTTTTCCATAGCTTCATGAACCGAATCTGGCCCTATCAAGGCTGCTTCACCCACTTCAAGCCAACTAATTGGGGACCTGTATCTACGCCCCTATAGTGCCTCATACGAGGCCATCTGAATACTGGAATGAAAGCTATTATTATAGGAAAACTCTATGAGAGGTAGGTGGTCATCCCAACCACCCTTGAAATCGATCATACAATATCTCAACATATCCTCTAAGGTCTGAATGGCACGCTCTGCCTGACCATCCCTCTATGGATGAAATGTTGTACTGAGATTTACCTGGGTACCAAGACATTTCTGAAACGATTTCCAGAAATGAGAGGTAAATTGAGGACCTCTATCTGAGATGATAGACAAGGGAACCCCATGCAACCTGACTATCTCATGGATGTAGAGTTTGGCGTAGTCCTCCGTTGAATCTGTAGTCTTGAAAACAAAGAAGTGAGCAAACTTAGTAACTCTGTCCACTATCACCCAAATGAAGTCATGATGTCTTCGAGTAATGAAATCCATATTTATCACTTCCCACTTCCATATAGGAATGTTTATCTCCTGAGTCATACCTCCTGGTTTCTGATGTTCTACCTTCACATGTTGACAATTAGGACACTTAGCCACAAAACTTGTTATGTCCCTCTTCATGTTGTTCCACCAAAAGACTTCCCGTAGATCACGGTACATCTTAGTGGAACTGGATGAATGGAATACCTTGAGTTATAAGCTTCTGTAAGGATTTGCTGCTTTAACTCACCCACATGAGGAACACATAAGAGACCCTGGTAACGAAGTACACCATATCCTCCTTGGGAGAAAACCTCAACTTTATACTGATGAACTGCACCTTTCAACTAAAGTAATATAGGATCACTATTCTATTTTTCCTTAACCTCTGCTATCAATGAGATTCTGATCCATTATGAACTATCACCCCACTATGTGATGTGTTTGTAAGGAAAATTCCTAAGCGAGCAAGTTGGTGAACATCTTTGGCTAGCTCTTTTCTTTCTTCCTCAACATGTGGTACACTACCCATAGACGACATGCTGAGAGCATCAGCCACTACATTGGCCTTGCTCGGATGGTAAAGCACATTCATGTCATAGTCCTTGAGGAATTCAAGCCATCGCCTCTGATGAAGAATCAACTCTTTCTGGGTGAACACATACTTGAGGCTCTTATGATCTGTGAATACATCAACATGAATGCCATACAATAGTGTCTCCAAATCTTTAGGGTAAATACTACGGCTGCAAGTTCGAGGTCATGAGTCGGGTAGATCTTCTCATGAACCTTAAGCTGTCTAGAAGAAGCTATGACCTTACCTCGCTGCATCAGCACATAGCCGTCTGAACCATCTGGTAGAGACAAGGCCGGAGTTGTAGTCAACCTAGTCTTCAGTTCTAAGAAACATTTCTCACACTCATCTGACCACTGAAATTTGACCTTCTGAGTCAACTTGGTAAATAGGGAAGCTATGGATGAAAATCCTTCAACAAATCTTTTGTAATAACCGGCCAAACCCAAGAAACTTCTGATGTATGTTGGAGAGGTGGGTCTGTGCCACTGCTGTACTGCCTCCAATTTCTTAGAATCCACCCGAATCCCTTCACTGGATACCACATGACCAAGGAAAGTAACAGACTCTAACCAGAATTCATATTTGTTGAGCTTAGTGACTAGCTGGCGATGTTTGAGAGTTTGCAGAACGACTCTCTGATGAGTCTTATGCTCCTCCTCACTCCGAGAATAAATGAGGATATCATCAATAAAGACAATGAAAAAAAAGTTCAAATATTATTTGTACACCCTGTTCATTAAGTCTATGAAAGTTGCAGGAGTATTTGTTAATCCAAAAGACATAACCACAAATTCATAATGACCATACCGAGTTCTAAAAGTTGTTTTCGAAATGTCACTATCTCTGACTCTGAGCTAATGATAGCCAGATCTGAGATCTATCTTAGAAAAGTAGCTAGCACGCTGAAGTTGGTCGAAGAAGTCATCAATCCTGGGGATGGGATACTTATTCTTAATTGTGACTTTGTTCAACTATCCATAATCAATGCACATTCTGATAGAACCAACTATCCTTTTCACGAACAATGCATGCACCCCATGGAGAGATATTAGGACTGATGAAGCCCTTATTTAAAAGGTCTTTCAATTGCTCTTTCAATTCCTTAAGCTCGGCTGGAGCCATTCTATAAGGAGGAATCAAAATGGGCTAGGTATCTGGGATGGGATCTATTCGGAAGTTGATTTCCCTTTCGGGAGGAATTTCGGTAAGATCTTCTAGGAACACTTCTGGAAACTCATTTACTATTGGGACTGACTCAAGAGTTGGGGTTTTGGAGTTTGAATCCTTAACCCGAACAAGATGATAGACATACCCTTTGGAAATTATTTTTCTGGCCTTAAGGTAAGAGTTGAATCGACCCATAGGCACTGAGCTACTACCTTTCCACTCTAAGACTGGCTCATTTGGAAACTGAAACCGAACGACCCTAGTTCTACAATCGACTGAGGCATAAAAGGAATGTAGCCAAACCATGCCTAGAATGATATCAAAATCTACAATTTCTAACTCTACAAGATCTGCTGAGGTGACTTTCTAAGTGACCGTGATAGAGTAATTCATGTATACTTGTCTAGCTATAACTAGGTCATTAACTGGAGTAGAGACTGAGAAGGGTTCTGAAAGAGTTTTTGGATTGACACCAAAGTTTTCTGCTATATAGGGAGTTACAAAAGATATGGTAGCCCCTGGATCTAACAATGTATAAACATCCAAATAAAAGACTCGTAACGTACCAGTGACTATATCAGGAGAATCTTCATGGTCCTGGCTTGCCTGAAGAGCATACAACCTGTTCTGGCGCTGACCGCTACTTGTACCAGATGAAGTACCTTGCTGCGTTGGATGACCTACTGGTGCTGTAGACTGAGACGTATTGTTGTTGCCTACTTGCCCTTACCTGGAAGAGGGGCAATCCTTCAACCTATGGCCAGATTGACCACACCCAAAACACCCTTCCTTGTCTACAAGACACTCTTCCGGATGGTTCTTACTACAATGTGGAAAAGTTGGGTAAGTCCTGTTACCTGAAGCATTCCTGTGAGACCTACAGCCTGATGCCCTACCTTTCTGATCCAATTGAAACCTAGAGGATGGGGCACTAGCTGATGAAGGTGCTGGGATGTAGACCTCTGCTGAAACTGTGAGCAATTCCCATCGTCCGACTTTTGTTGTGAGTATTTATAGTTTCCTGTTATGGCCTTTTTATTATTCTTAGGCAATTCCCTAAGCTTATCTCCCTCAACCTGCTGAGCATGAGTCATTAGTTCGGAGATATCCATATCTCCTAAAAGCATAGCATTCCTGCACTCAGTCTTCACTAGATTGAATACCCCAAACAAAAACTTACTCATTTGTGCCCTTGAATCAGCAACCATGTGTGGAGCATACCTAGAGAGCAGGGTAAACTTAAGCCCATAATCTTAGACCGACATTGAACCCTGCTTCAAGTTCATAAACTCTTGTACCTTAGCTTCTCTTAGATTTCTTGGGAAGAACCTGTCTAGGAAAGTACCGATAAAACAATCCCAAGTCATAGGAGCTGCATCTGCACCCCTATTTTCTTTCCACTGAGTGAACTAGATATGAGCCACATCCTTAAGTTGGTAGTATGCCAACTCAACACTCTCAGTTCCAGTCGTTTGCATTACTCCAAGAATTTTCTTAACCTCATCAATGAAGTTCTGTGGGTCCTCACCAACCTTCGAACCTAGATACTCAGCTGATTCATTCGAACAAAATCTCAAGCCCTAGCTCCAGCTGATCCCCCATTACTGTTAGAAGGAACTGTGGCTTGCTGATGTTCTGATCTTCCACACTTTGAGCTAAGAGTTGAATCGCCCTCTGAAATTCTACATTCGTAACCTCATGATTTGGGACTGGAGGAATTGTGTTAGCATTGCGTGCGTTAGCATTCCGTGCATTAGCTCTACAAGGAGGCATGATCTGAAACACATAACGATGAATTAGAAAGGAGAAATTGGATCATACCCTCACACGATAAGAATAACAAAGAAATTGAAGTGTTTCTTAAAACACTTCGTAGCCTCCCTCTCATAGATGTTGTGCACTTCACACCCATGAAAAAAACTCTACTTAGTATGGCTTTCAGACATCCTAAGACTCTTGAACCTAAGGCTCTGATATCAAGTTTGTCACGCCCCAAGGCTACCCTCTTGACGTAACACGGGACCTAGGATTACGAGTGACCCCAAGATATTCCTGTGTTTGGCATATCATAAGCATATTGAAGATAATTGACAAAAAAACATTATGCGGAAGCTAAAACAATAAGTAACTTGAAAAATGGGGAATGCCCAACTAGTCTGAATGTATAAACCATACTAAGAGTTTAATAACAACTGAATGATTAAACTCACAATTGAAGCTGATTCTACTACTATGTGTGAAAAACTTCTAACTGAGTTGAGTTGCTGGGACATGCCCCCAACTAACTCTAAAAAAACTGAAACTAAAATGTAAAGACTAAAATGAAAGCATGTCTATTGTCCTCAGAATATGAGGACTCACCACTGACACTACTGAATGCTGACCGAGAATCGATCTAAGCGTGGTCTGAATGCTTAGTACCTGAACCTATATCATGAAAGGATGCAGCGCAGAGTATGCGTCAGTACATGGAATGTACTGAGCATGCAAGAGGAAAATACTAAGATGAAAAAATCTATATACAAAAGCTGAACAAAGTATAATTGAGCAATGACATAATTGTGTAAGAATGTAAGTACTGAAACATAACTCGAAAGCTAAACTGAATGCAATGCCCAAGTGCTAATCATGAAAATAACATGTTGAACTGAATACTGAAGTATGTATTGAAAATATGGTCAAATGCACTAAGAGTCTCACTGTGGGAGTTACTATTAATTGCCATAAAACCACGTGAGATAAACTTGGAGTCCGATGTATACGTCCCATCGAGAGGACCCAATATACCTTGCCAGGCGTGTAAAAGAATGACTGGCCTGATCACTAAATCTGATGCCCTACAGAGGGGACTTATAATCGTATGGGGGCACGTAGTTCTGGGACTATGAGGGTACACTGAACCCTAGTCCAACTCGATGCTAAGTCTACTCCCAACTGAATATGTCTATGACTGGAATTTAACTAAAATATTGAGTAACTCAAAATACAGACATGCTAACTGAAAATGCAATATTTATATACTGATAATGTAACATTTGAAATTTGAAGCATCTGTTTAACTGACCTAGCAAGTGTAATTCATGAACTAAGAGAATCTACAAAAACTAGGGTTCTGAGTTTTATACAAAGAATTATACAAAGTCCCAATAAAACATACTATTAAGTTTAGGATACTACAACAACTAAATCACAACAAATATCCAAGGAATTAGAAACCCTAGGTCTAAACAACATATGGAGAATCAAGGAACTGACTGAATTCTAGGGACCTAGTGGATGAAAGGAACCTACTACATACCTGGTGATGGAATCTACAGAGAAATCCTTCGATTTCAGAGTTGAAACTTGAAGAAAACCTTTTTCTTGTTCTTGAGAAGTTGGTGACTTTTCTCTTCTTTTTGGCTTTAATTTTGATGAATTTAGTTGAATAAAGGTTTTGGTTAAGTTCTGACTAGATTATTAGGCTTAAACTGAGTAAAACGACTTAGTTTTGGTGTAAAATGACTTAGTTTTGGTGTAAAACGACGTAGTTTAAATGTCCAATGCGTAGGGTAAAATACAAAAATGACCCTGACTTAACAGCCGATGAGACCATCGACGAGCCCTGACCCATGGACCTTTGACTGACTGATGGTCCGTCCTGACAAGGCGTCGGTTGGCGTTTGAGACTTGGTGTGGGGATCACGATCAACGGACCGTGGTCCATTTACGGTCCGTAGGTCCTGCCGTGGGTCATGATTTTTCCTGGGGTTATGGGTGGCCAACCACGGACCATACCTACGGTCCGTGGCCTAAACTACAGGTTGTGGTTTTGCCTTCGTCGATGGCACCTACAAGTTTTGAAAAAAATTATTCATTTTGGTCTTTCTCGAATCTGGGGTGTTACATAATAGGTACAATTTTTTTATGCCATTAGCTCGGCTGGACTTTATTTGATCGAGACTCTATTTTTTCATATGTATATGTGCATTTGGCTTCTTGGTTGCATATGAGTTAGGAGCCCTTGGCAGTGCTGTTTCGTGTTTCAACCACTGTGTGTGAGTTTGTACTAGTGGATCAGGTGTTATTGTCATGCACCGAGACTACACCCTAGACGTGGCCAAAATTTGAGACCTATTGCTGGCTCTCAAGAGAATCATTGGTTTGACTGACTAATTAGCAGGAAATTTGACTCAATCAAATTAAAAGCTTGTAAGATAAAAATACAACTCAACTTGACACAAATGCTCATTTTAGCAAAATTTATTATTCTCTAAGAATTTGAAGAAAGAATTTCTGAAACAACTCAACTCTAGCTATCTATGAAGCCTCTAAGTTCAACATGGACGTTGGGATAAGACCCTCAAAGCCCCAAAGTAAATACTAAAATGAAAAATGGAGCCTACCGAAATGCAAGGAGGAATCACCAAGACTCTCAAATGGGAAGTGCAAAGTGATCTCAACGAAGCACCGATTAATGATCCTAAAAACCTATATCTTCATCATAAAAAGATGTAAGTAGAATAACATTAGTACATTGAATGTACGAGTATGTAATATAGCCCACACGAAATGATTGAATGAAAATAAATATCTAAGCTTTATATTACAAATAAATATAAATGTTTTGGGATATTAATTTCACAACTTTCAATATGCACACAACTAGTAATCGTAAAAATGTTTACATTCATTATTAATACAAACCTATACTTTATTATTTAACTTACTAGTATACGTACCCGCGCGTTGCGCGGATATATTTAGATGAAAAAAAAACATATATTGAGTTATATTTTATATGAAATATAAATATCAACAAAAATTAAATAAACAAAAAATTAAATGAAAAACATTATATAATATTTTAAAATTATTTTAATCACAATATAAAGTTGTTTTGTGGTCCCAACAGTAATGTTTTTATAATTTTCATAATAAACATAAGCCACTTATATTAATATATAATATAAAATAATATTTAATAAAGTATTGTGTACGTGAAATACTCCTTTCGTCTCATATTAGTTGATCACTATTAATTTTTTACGGTGCTTAAAAAACACAAATAAGAAGATGATTTTTCTAATGCACACCTTAAAATACTTCTTGTGAATTATACAAACAAATATGAATACTTTCAAAAATAAAATCAATTGCAAGAGTAGTAAAAAAAGTTATTAAAGTTTTATTGACTTAGTAAGGTGATCAATTAATATAAATTAATTATATTTAGTATAATGATAAATTAATATGCAACAATTATATTTAGTATAATAATACACAAATACTCCATCTGTCCACTTTTAATTGTCATGTTCTTTTTTTAGAGTAAAACATAAGAACTTTGACTAACAATTTACGATATATTTTTTTATCATATTAATATGCATATATGGCTATTTGTAGTACTTTTTGTATAGTTTTGGAATATACAAATATTTTTCTTAAAATATCGAATTAATGTAATCTTATTTTACTTTGAAAATTGATCAAATTGACTTTTGAAAAATTAAATATGATAATTAAAAGTTGACGAAGGAGGTATAAAATAGAGGAAGTACTATAAAAGAATACAACTTTTTAGGTATATTGATTAGCGTGCCTTGATAGTATAGTAAGACTTCAATGTATGCACACATTTCAATATTTCCATCTTTCTTTCTTTATTTTTAATTAAACAAAATGGCCATGGGCCAATTTATTGAATAACAAAAAATGGAAACAAAAAGTTGGAGAAAAACGTCAGGTAGTAGAAAATAAGAAAAAAAAAATGAAAACTTAAAAAATATGGATCTATCTAAATTGTGGAAGGAGACCAAACATGCACCAATGGAATATGATTTTTGAGATTAGGAAAGTGAACTTCCTGTTTAGATCGTCACCGGTCAGAGCTAGATCCGTCATCTCTAAGCTCATGTGTGCCTTTTCATATTACTGTAAGTGTTCCTTTGTTTTCTTTATATTCTTCTGTTACCCTTTCTCAATTGGGTTCTTTGTAATTGTTAATTTTTTCTTGTAAAGTTTCTTGGAAGAACGAAATCTCTAATTTGAATCTCATCAACATAACTTTGGTAAAAAGAATTCTCATTTCAACATTCGAACATTCAAATTAGAACAAAGCCTAAGAAAGACTTTGTTCAAGCAGGTATCACACAGGAAATAAGATTTTGATTGAAATTGTATTTAGATCTAGAGTCGTTCTGTCAACAATCGTATGTTTCGTGAAATGGTGAGTTCATTTTTTTCTTCATTTTATTGAATTGTAATAAGAACTTCGATTGAAGAGTATTAGCATGCATTAACTTCTTGTCGTGGAGTTAATTTTTTAAAATTTATCAGGTGATGTCTTCTTCAACTCTATTTTGCCTCGATGTTACTCTATTTGGGTGATCAACTAAGGTATTATATTTTAAATTTAATTTAATTAGTACATGCATGCTATAACATAGTTGTGATAAGCTTATGTTAATGCAAATTTTGTTATTTTGCTTGGTGATTGAGAGTTTATTCTGTGGTCGTATCCGTTTTTATGTTCTTTGCAATGTCAGGTTAGATCTCTATCTTTGCTTTTATTTTTATGTTTAACCATGTTGTTAGAGTAGATTGTGATGAATTATTGCTTCTTGAGGAAGCAGGGAAATGATTATTTGTTTAAAATTCGAAAAGATGTCTTACATCTACAAATATGTAGTTAAGCTATTTTATTTTCCGCTCAATTTGTTTCTTTTTACACCAACCTCTATATTTTAATCTTATTTATATTGATATTTTTTGTAGTTTCAATGTGCTTATACCTATATAATGATGCATGCTTCAGATGATGAGCTTACTGATCTAATTCATATGCTTGATAGATTATAATTCAGTTTACTAAATTAACATAACGTAAATAATTGTGTGTTTACTTGTTTAAACTTATTGGAGTCTATTTAATGTGCTGCTTCTTTGAAATATCTGAAAGCATATATGAACTCCTTTAAATACTTGTTACATGATAGCTAGCAAGATTAAATGTAAAGTTTAAAAAGTATCTAGAACCAAGCTCTCCATTGCACATATATAGTCTAGTTTATAAAAAGATAATGTCAACAGACGGTTCCATTTCATATAATGGAAAAGTCTGATACTATATTCAAAGCACACTCAATTACTTAAGTGTGAAATTGTTCACCATATGCATAAGTGTATTATCCCCCTCCATTTTTTCAAACTCTTGCTACCAATTCTTCAAATTCAACAACTCAAGTATCATCTGTATTATCTGCCATTGTCAATAAAAGAGTTAACAATATTAATATATTTAAAATATTTTTAAATATTATAATTATTATAAATATTTATAAAACAAAGTTAATTGGATAGTTTAATATTCTAAAATAAACTAACTTAAATAATTAAAGCCTATTTCCCATTCGGTAAAACTTATGTCTTCTTCTCCTTCTTTATAACTTTGCATAACTTGTTACTGGGTAGTTTGACATTTAATCCCTCATAATTTGAATGTGTTGGTCGAACTCCAACATGTTTGCCACTATTGGGATATAACTTTCTAGTCAAATCAATCACATCTTCATTTTGTGAAGAAGCACAATCTATTTTGATAGGTGTCTGAAAATAATTTAAATACATACATAATTTAGTAATTTATGTGTGTTGAATACTTATACACATAATGTAAAATAACAAACTATGTTTTAAAATCTGAAAAGTTTAAAAAACGAAGGTTGAATTAAATTATATACCTCAATTAGTTTATCTTTGTCATAGCTCTGTCCACAATCAAGAGTTGCCTCCTGTTTCAAAAATTATAGTTAATTTATTTATATGACAATTAGAGTTAAATTTTAATAATATAGGCACTTACATTCAAATTGTGTATAAGAGAAGGATGACAATATTCCTTTAGTAATGCTTCATCATCAATGAACTTTACTACTTTGTAAACATTATCATTCTTGTTAATGTTTGAATCCTTAATATGGACTTTAAACATGAGCCTTTTCTCAATCAAAGAATCAAGTTCTATTGGATAACCCATGTCAGCATCTCCATCATCAATGAACTTTACTACTTTGTAAACATTATCATTCTTGTTAATGTTTGAATCCTTAATATGGACTTTAAACATGAGCCTTTTCTCAATCAAAGAATCAAGTTCTATTGGATAACCCATGTCAGCACCTCCTATAAATCCTGCCGTCAACTCCTTGGTAGTCTTTCCAATTAATTGTAGAACCTCTTTATTCCACAACAATAATGATATATATACAGTTTCATCAGTAACATGAATTTGAAGTCGATACCTAAAGTGTATAAAATAGAGTGTTCTATAAATTTTAGTTAAATTTTAAAAATCTATATTGTTTGCTCCAACCTGTGAATAACAGATATAACTTCAGCATTGCATTTTACGCAATAATATTTGTCTCCCAAAGGATCAACCTTTGTGATACACTTATTGCAAGTCAAGTATGACCATCTGTGACCAAGTTCCAAACAAACAATCTTTACACCAATCCAATAGCTAGACTCCTGCGAGTTAAATCATAATGTTTAGACAATTATATGTACTATAAAAAATATAGATTATAATTAGTAATATAATATATACAACTCACTTCAGTGCAATGAAGGAAATCCCTAATAAATTTAAAAGAGACCATTCCTGTAGACAACTCCTCAGTAATTGAAATATGTTGTTGTGAACTTGTTTATGAAACCTTCTCATATTCACCTGATGCAATTAACCTGTAAATTTATCATAAAATAGTAGTTATATAATTTGTTAATTTTAATTCATTTGGAGTACTTATTCATACAGATGAGTTGTCAAACTTGTTTTTAAAATCCGAAGATTGTGGTAGATCTGCATTAATCCATAGTTTGGTCAACAACTACGAATATAATATGTATTTGTAAAATAATTTAAAAGATTTATTAAGTTAGATAAATATATTTGTAATAATGATAAACAATAGTTTAACAAAATAAAAACTTTAAAATTCATACCTCTAAATGTAAATTGTTTAATAATACTTACTGCTCATCTTCTACAACAATATTCATGAAAGAGCTATTGTTGTCTCCTTGCTTTGACAATTGAATTGGTTCATATGAGACAACATGCCCAACAACTCTTAAAAAATTATGAAATTCTTAGTTATAATATTTACAGTATAATGAAAAGAATTATATAATAATATTATTATTTACCAATTAGTTGATTCTCGTCGATCTTGTGTTGAATTTCCACTTCTTCAAAAGTGCGTAGCTTAAAAACATCCATATAAAAAGATGAATCTTCACTTTCAGTCACAATAGTATTCTGAGTGAATGTAAGCTTGTGTTTATGAGAATTTGATTTAAATTTCGAGTGATAAGGCGCTATCACATAATATTTCATCTGATATAAACCATGATCATAAATCTTATCTCTAAAATACTTTATTGTGAACTTATCAATAGATGCATGTATTCGATCACTCTATATGAAAACAAAATTTTGTATAATCATTAATATTAAATGTATAATAGAATTAGAGAATAGCATTAAAAACACAAATTTGAATTAAATCATACCTTTTCATCTTGCAAAATCAACTCCATAATATACGGAATATCAGGCTTGTATTTATTGGGCACTGTCCAGAAACGAATAATATGAACTTTTAAATTCCAGTTCATTGAGTTATTGGTAATTTCAAATATTGTGTTATATTGCAAAGCCATATTTTGTAATTTTGAAAGTTGACAGAAACATGTTTAGTTTGAAACAAATGGTATCTATATATAGGTACATGGTACGTGATTTGAGAAATAGTTTTTTCCAAAAGTTAGTAGGAAGTTACAGAACTGCTCTTAATTTAAACTGCTCTAAATTTTAAACTGCTTTTGAATTTTTTATTACAGAATTAGAGGTTAATTCAGATGCTGCCAGATATTGCTAACATGGAACTGAAGAAGCTAACACGTCATTTATGCAATGAAACTGTATTAGATTTTAATATTAATACCGCTATAGTGTTGATATTGTTTTACAATTAATTGTTTAAATTGATACGTTGACAGACAAAATTATATCATGCTAATGATGACACGTGTTTATATTTATTTTAATTACAAATGTTAAATTAGTGTTTAATTGAAAATATGACACGTATAAATTTAAACTTCCTTCAATAATTTTATTCAGATTTTTGTAAATTCAAAAATTGACACGTTAAATTATATCACGCAAATGTTGACACGTGTTAAGATATTTTAATTAATTTTTATTTTAAATGTTAAATTAGTGATTAATTGATCCAGATTTGACACGTGCATATTAAATACTTCCTTTAATAAATTTATTTAAGTTTTTTTTAAATCAGAAGTTGAAATGTCAAATTATATAATGCAAATGCTGACACGTGTTAATATTTGTTATAATAATTTATCATTTTAAATGTTAAAATGAATGAATAATTAGAAGATGACACGTGTATGCTTAATTTTTTTTTTGAAAATCTCTAGCGTTTTCTTACGGATTTCCGTACGAATATAGATATTTATTAATTATTAAATGATAATTAAAAAGTAAAAAAAGTGAGATTAATTGTGGCGCTGACACGTAGACGCTATCACCTCTCCTATTAGATATATACTAGTATACGTATCCGCGCAATGTGCGGATAATATTAACGAAAGTAATTACTGTGCTTGAATATATATTATACATTTATTATATAATTTTTTAAAAATTTAAATTAGTATATACATCAATGAGAGAGATTTTTTAGTTTGTGAGTTTTTGTTGCACATTTGTGATGATGATTAGCAAAGCAAGTATCTTAGCACTTCTTGATACATCTTAAATAGTCGAATAGAACATTTATAGTTTTTATGTTCATACAACAACAAAAACAATTTTAATTGATGACCATAATGTTATGTTGCTAAAAATTATGAACAAGTATCAAATATAACACAAATTTATCATAAAATTTTAAGTTGCAAAGAGCATCAAATCTTAGTTGAATCACCTAAATAGAATTAAAAAGGTAATGAATACAAAATTATTGCTAATAATTGATCGATCGCCTAAAACATTATGTTTTACTCATTGTATATTTTAAGATCGAAGAACGGAATAAGAAGACGTAGCTCAACTTTAACAATTATTGTGGATGTACTTTGAAAATGAAGAAATATTTAAAAAGTGAAATTGTTAATTGTCTTGCTTCCCAACGAATCTAACAACAAATAGTATGCGATTACGTAGCTTCAAAATTGGAATAATGTATAATTATATTGGTAATAATCGCATACATATAATACATTTATCATCATCATCTTGATAACTTCACATCCCAATTTTTAAATATATTTATTTACCTATTTATAGCAAATATAAGTCGATTTCTTCTTCCTATATATTATTTTTAGGGCAAATTACAGAAATCACATTATTGTAATTACAGAAATCCCTCATTTTCGCGCATCAAATTATTGTATCAACGCTTATATTATTGAATCTCACGCATCAGATTAATGTATCATCGCTTATATTATTGTATCTCGCGCATGTATCAACACTTATATAGCTCTGATACATTAATCTGATGCGCGAGATACAATAATATAAGCGTTGATACATTAATATGATGCGCGAGATACAATAATATAAGCGCTGATACATTAATCTGATGCGCGAAAATGAGGGATTTTGGAAATTTATAAAACTTATAGGGAATAATGATAATAAGTAAACTAAAAGGTGGGATTTCTGTAATTTTTCCTTATTTTTATCAGTAGAAAAAAAATCTCAGGCTAGATTTACATTATAGTACTCCGAAAAATGAATCCATTTACCTAATCATGACAATATTTTTTCGTTAAATTTGACTTACGGTATTATCCAAAATTGATCCATAATCTTCTTAAAATAGATAATAATAATAATAATAATAGATAATTAATTTAGATAAATTTGATTTTCCCAATTATGGGATAAATTCATATAAATTGAATATTTAATTTATGAAATAGTTTATTCTTATTGTATTATTTTTGTAATTAGGTAATAAGTCACCATATCCTTGATATTTATGGGTATTTGGACAATATGATTGACAATTTAAAATATAAAAGATTTGTTATAATTGATGATTATAAAAGAAAATGTAAATTAAGTTGTGCGACCTAATGTTATTATCATATATTTTACAAAAGTTAATATGAATTCGAGAAAACATCGATACTGATTAAGTGAAAGTATAATCTTGTTGAGTAATTGTCTTGCATTCAAATTGCTAATCAGCATTCAAAATTGTAATCCACAATTCTACAAAATCGTAAAATATTTGAAAACATTATTAAAACCCAAAAATAATTCAAAATTTTAGTAGATATAAAAAAAATCTAAATTCTGAAAACGTAATTTTGAAGATACGCATTATTATTATACTTGAATTGAATCTAATTTTGATTAGAATTTTAGTTAGTATAAGAATCTTTAATTAGAATTTGAATTTAACATTGTTAATATTGACATTTGAAATTCTTATGTGTGTAATCTATATGTATTTGTTGAACAGAAATTTTGAACACTAATATTTGTTGAATTGATATTTTTATTCTAAGTTAATATTATTTGGAATTGTGTGTGGAGCTATGTCATGATTTAATTTGTTGTAAATATAGTTATAACTACTTAGAATTGCTTCTTTTCTTTTTTCTTTTTCTTTTCTTTTTTATAAAAAGACAAACATGCAGATTTAACAGATAGGTTTTTAATTTAAAATAAATTTAAAATTCTTTATTTTTACGTTTAATAGGGCTCCTTAATTCATGGCTACTTGGTGAAAGTTCTTAATTAACATTTTATTTTAATTTAAAATAATTTTCAAACATTAATATTAAAATAAAATTTTCCAATATTTTTGGAATTGGATTCAAATATTTCTGATTTACGTTTTTTCATAAATGTATATTTTGTATGTTATTATTTAAATATTATTACTTAATCTCAATGCAAAAGAAGATAAAATTATTTCTATTGTACATAACATCCTAACAGGTAGAAAAAATATATAAAATAATTATATTCTATATATATGCAATAAGTTGAAGTTTAATGGGATAATTTTGCATCATACTATAAACTCAACCTTTATATTTACAATTCTCACCTAAGAACTTTAAAATAGTAGTAAATCACAAAATTAAAAATGTAAGCACATACATATATTGGGCAGTTTTCGTTTAAATAATTGTTAATTTAAATGTTCAAATTAGTTATTAATTGAGAAGATGACATGTATATATTAAAAAGTTCCTTGAATTTAGAATATTTAATATTTAATTAGTTAATAATTAAATCATAATTTGTGTATAAATAATAATTTATTTTTGTTTATTTAAAATGTTGTGTAACTACCGTAGAATCTATCAAAATGTAATTAATAATTTATTTTTATTTATTTAAAATGTTGTGTAAATACCGAAGAACTTATCAAATTGTAATTATTAACATGTTTCAATATTTTTTAATAATTATTTATTACTTATTATTTAAAATGATTTAAAATTCTAAAAAAATGTGGTAATGACATGTGTCATTTTTTCTTCTCCTTTTATATATAGATAGAAGATTAGAAAAAAAAATACATTTAAAATCTTTTTTAAAAAAAATATTGAAGTATATCTTCATTTAACCGTTTCTTGTTAATTAGTGGATAATTTTCTTATTTATTTATTTAAAATGGCTTATGGATAATGTTTTTAAATTTATTTATTATTTTTCTTCATTTAACAGTTTTTTGTTAATTCATGGACGGTTATGGTATTTTTTATTTTAATTTAAAATGGCAGATGGACAATGCTTTTTTTAATTTTATTTAGTCTTTTCTACTTTTTATAAAAATATAAAGTAATACTATTTAATAATAAAAGATAAAATAAATCAATACTATTCTTTTAATAGAAGATAATTAGAAAATTTTAGAGATATAATTAAAGTGGCAATATTTTTTCCCTTTTTAAATTAATTAATGTTAATGTTAATTTACGTATGTTTTTTATTCCTTTTTAAAATTGTTATTCTTTTAATAAAAGTTAATTAGAAAAATTTAGCGATATAATTTAAAAGTTTTTGAGGACATATGGAACTGTAGTTTTGTTTTTTTTTAAAAATGTATTTTAAAAAAAATTATTGAATCTATTGTATACTAAAAAAATCATTTTTTTACTAATTTATAAATTGTATTTAAGTAAAAGTTACATTTATTTTTAGAAATACTAACATTTGTCAGTATTTGTGTAAGTTGATGACATGTGCCTATTTTTATTTTTTATTTATAGATAGATAATAGTTATATAATAATTAATTATTAATTATTTAAAATTCTAAAAATTTGTGGCGATGACATGTGGCGTTTTTTCTTCTCCTATTATATATAGATAGATATAGATAATTAAAAAGTAAAAACAGTGAGATTAATTGTGGCGCTGACACGTAGACGCTATCACCTCACCTATTATATATATATATAGATATAGATTATTATTATTATTATTTATTATTATCTACATTTGTTTGGCTAAAAAAACTGTCGTTTTTCTTTTTAAAAAAACTAACAATTTTAATTGGCTAAAAAAACTGTAACTTTTCTTTTAAAAAAGCAACTTTTTTTCTTTTATTAAAATATTAAATTAATTCTATTTAATTAGTTGATTATTTAAAAGTGAAA